AATGTTTGATGTGAGCAACAGTGTGTTTTGCTGCAGCAGCGCCGATTGAAGCGGTTCACTGACTGCACAGCCACACGTGACGCCACAGTTACGTTTGGGATCATTTTATTTTAAATGCCATAATGTCAGTTGAAAACATTGCAATTGTGTTTTAAAATACAACAACGAGCACCACGAAACCATTTAAAGAGGTGCGTTCAGTGGTCCCGTGACGGGATAGGAAACAGTCAACACAGTAAAATGATCTCAAACGAGCTCTCTTCATTTTATCAAATGATCATAATCACATCTATTCATTTTACAATCCTGCTACTAGCATTTTATTCAGACTAAATCTCCTTTAAATCGGGTGAGAAAGCGGTTTTTTTTGAGTAACTTTTGCACATCCTGTCATGCCGGGCTGCATAGACGCATTTTGCAGCATTAAGGTTAACGAATAATCGATTAATTGATCGTTAATTTAAACGACGATCGATCATGGAAATTGACATCCCTAGTTGCAATACAGGAACAGGGTAATATAAATTAACATGATGCCTTACCTTTGGATTTGAACAGGTCGTCATCATCGTCGTCACTACCTGACTCAAAAAGACCCTTGAACTCCTCCTTGTTGGCTTTCTTCTCTTCAGCCTTCTTGCGTTTGATCTCAGGGAGATTCAAGTCCTCCATCTAAATTAAAAAGCGATGAGAAGGAAAAAAAAGATCTTTAAATATTGTCATTAATCAAAACCAGCAAAAACATGATCAAAACACTCCAGACATAACATTAATGAGAATATAATACTGATGAAATGCTTCTGTTATTTGTTTCAGATTTAGTTTTAGACTAAATCTGCTTGAGTGGAAGTGTTTTTTTTCCTAGATGATATACAGTACAATGAGCTATTCTGTGAGTTTCCTTCCATCTCATTAACATCAGATGTCACAAAATGAGTCACTGTTGAGACCTCTTTTATCTATCTATATATTACAAAGGATTCAAATTAATATTATATTATCTTCTATTATATTATAAAAGTTATGTTATTCTCCACTAAAAACATAATGGGACATCAGTATGTGTGTGTGTTGATGGAGGAAGTGGCAGAGGCAGTAGAAGCAGGAGGGAGGCAGTGGTAATCAGATCTGAGCGTGGGGACTCGGTGGATCAAAGCCTGGGACGCAGCCCTGAGCGCTATAATGCTCTTCCTGTAGCACTAGCCCTGCCGCCTCCTCCGCCAATCTGCCGCTTCCTAGGCGCCAACACTCCGCCTGGTGTCATCTCCATTATCTCCCCATGGACACGCTCCAGCTCCACACATACACGAACACACACAGTTGGTGCTTTCACAGAACCAGCACTACAGTTTTCACAAAGACGATCACATCTGTGCATTTCATATAAGACTGGCATTAAAACAGCATTGGGATAAACAGCCATCTCGATATATATAATCCAAATAATG